GACTGCTTGCACAGGCCATGAATCTAACAACTGAGGAATGGATCCACTCAATTATGGGCCTTAAGCGAAAATAAAAATTGCTACGGACAGAAATCTTTTCGTAGTTCGCTTTCGATAAGCGATGAAGGCAGTCAAAAACGACCCGATAAGACGACTCAGCCAAAAAGAACCAACTGCTAGGCTACTACATCCATAACATTACGACACAAAGACACACGAAAGAAGGGGTGAGAAACGAACACATCTTGTAACGAAGCGGCGTTAATGTCCGGTGTGAATACGTCGAGCATATCGATGATATTCTCATGATTCATTGAACGCAACAGCTTCAACTCACGATGCGTTCTTTTTGCGTGAATAGCGCTCTGGAACGGCCGTGAGAACTTTTTAATGGCTACCTTCGCGCCAGTTACACGACACTCCGCCGCGCTGCAATCCACAACATTCCTTCAGAAGAAGCATCGAACTGGCATCTACACCTCCCACACTGCTGCAGCCGCATTCCGAACCAGGCTGTGATCAGAAAAGCTCCAAAAGATTGCTTTATATTACTGGAACCTGTACCTGTCCGGACGACTGGTAACAAAGAAGCAGAAACGAGTGACTGGAAATGTGTTGCTTAAAGCTGTCGGAAGTGCCAGTGCGAGACTCCCATATTACGGTGGTGTTCCTACAGGACCGACACAACTGCCTCAGGCTCCCCTGTGCAGCCTGATTTACCGCAACTATATCAAATTCTAATTTACCGCATCTATATGCAGATGCATCAATTTCCGGAAAGTCACATGGACTGATCACACTCTCTCGCATGCATATTACTCGCAAAAACTCACTCGCTATCAGCAAAAAGAGCTATGCCATGTTAAATTTCAACCAGTAATTTGCAAAAAAGCTATAACCAGCAGCTAAAGCCCTGACATCCTGAAAATCGCTATTATTCCGAACAGAGAAAGCTTGCTCGCAATGATTTTTCGGTGCAATCATCACAAAAAAACTACTG